AATTTGCATTAATCATTGGTTAAGTGAGTCTATTTCCCTGATAATTAGCAGATAGTAAATTAAAATAAGCCATCAGAATTAATCAATCAAGTAATGAATTCATATATACATTAACGTAAAAAAAAGTTCATCCATCCTGAGTACTCAGAATAAGACAGAAAACATCATGAGCAACAAAAGGTAAGTTGAAACTGAGAAAAGAACATAAAAAACATGAATAAGATTTACATCTTTACATTTCGTCTTAAATATTAAATTAATCTTCTTACATCCTGAGTTTCAATATAATCACACTGAAAATGATCAAACTGAATTTCCCCTGAAGGTGTCAAATGTTATAGATAAAAAAGCACGTGACTTACATGGTGTAAATTATTGAGACTTTCATGATAAATGAATTCACCAAATTGAGAAGATTTTTTTTTTCCTTTCCAATACTTTTTCCCATTGATGAGTTTTCCTGATGAATGAAAACAGAAACGAAAATTTTTTTTTCTTTTACATTTTGATGAATCCAAATGGAAATAATTATTTTGTATACATTGATTGTTAATTACTGTTCTAATTAATTTGGAAATGTTAATTGAATAAATGTTAATAACGATAAATGGCTAATCAAAATTCATGAGAGTAACTTTTTAACAGCTAATTGGATTGAATTTGGATTCTGAACAAGGGATAGATTTTCATGAATGAATTGTAATTGAATAATAACATTTGTAGCTTGTATTTAGAGATGAAAATTAATCATGTTTAACAGTTTGATTGTTTACCAATCATAAATCATTGACAATTAGATGGTAAAGATTAAATTGGATTAAATTGTTGATGAAAAAAAAAATCAATTCATCTGAGATTTTGGTCAATCTCTTGTTACCTTTTTATCAATGACACAACATAGTGATTGTTAAATTGTTCCCAAACAATTTACCTGATTAAATTTCCAATTGATTAATAGCTTTGTACTGTGTGTTAGTTAATTGTCAAAATTTAATAAGAAAAATAAAATAAAGACCAATGGATAAGATGATCTTTTCCAAGTCTCAAGTTGCCACAAAGATTATCCTGATATCGTTGAGACAATCAACTTTATTAGAATTGAAAATAAATTGTCATCACTAGTTTAAGATTATTGATTAGTTTAGATTATGAAAGTTTCCCCTGTTGATTAAGTAAATTGCTCAACGATATGATTACTTATATAATCATATGAGTTTTTTTTTTAATTAACTTTCAAATGAATCAATTTATTTATTTGATTAGTTGTCAATTAAATAAACCATTTGGTAACTAGGTAAATTAAGTTAATCAAGATTGATATTTCAAATCAAATGCAATCCAAACGTGTCCAACAATTAACAGTTAATCATATTTATATTATTAATTATGGGAAAACAATCATCAATGGATTAACATTGATTGGGTTAGTGTGATAATTTTGCTCTAGTATTTTGTTTTTGTTTTTTTGATAAAATAAATAAGAAACTGATCAAAGATTAACAATTTAATCACAAGCAATTTAAGTTAATCACTTGTCATTGATTAACTTTCAATTCTTACTGTGTAAACATGTACAACTTAACTGGACATGCTACATGTCCAGTTTCAGTGTTGTAATCAAAATCTTTAAATGATTCATGGTGATGATTATGATAAGTGATTAAAACGTGATGATTAATGATAACCTATCATAATTAATATCATCGTTACCATGATGATGAACATGATGGTGATGATGATTAAGATAATATGAGAAAAGTAAACATGGCAAAGGTAAATTATCATTTATCCTGATTAATAATCATCATCAATTTGGTAGATAGATTTTACTTTTTTTTGTATTATGTTGAAATTGTTATTCATCTAATTCAATTATTTATCAATTCTTACCTGAGCAATTTACCTGATGATAATAAACTTAACTTCTAAATGATAATCAGTTGATTGTTACTTGGAAAATGATAATTCTGATGATGGTGGTAAGTAAGTCATTGGAAATACGATAACAGAATAAATTAAGTTCCCTTTGACTGTTCAGAAGTCATGAGGAAATGTTTATTTAATTCAGTCAAGTTTCATGGTGAACTCATGGTAATCATAATATTTGTTTCATTGTATTCCAATTCAGTTAGAGTTTAAATTTCATTCATTTCTATGAAAATTATTTTCTTTCAAGTGATAGAAAAGTTTTCCATTTGTTTTGGAACTTTTATTTCTGAATTTTTTCTCCATCAATTTGACTCTGGAATATTTTTAGGTAAAACATTTTATTGATTCATGAAATGAATGAATGGTCAATGGGAAAAGTTATTGGCTATAATATTAATTTACATTATTCATGTTTTTATTTTCAGGGGGTTTCATGTTAATTTACTTGAATTTTAATAAGTTACTTCTCATTAGATTTGGAAATTAAACTTTTCTTTTACATGGTAAATATTCAGCATTTCAGTAACAAGTATATATAAATGTGTGACGCTGATTTTGTGTCTATGTGATAATTTTGGTCTAATGTTGACCTTTGGTGGTTATCGGTAGAGAGGTTGATGTTGATTCTTTGAAAGATCGTGAGCTAATTGAGTTGATGGGTCGATGAGAAGATGAATGAATTGATGAACCGATAGCATCTCTTGTGAATGAGGGATAATTTGGTGTTTTCTTAAGACAACGGAAAAGATATTTATCAAAGTGAGTTCTAAAGGAACCGGAAACGATGTAAAGGGCAACCGGATTAAGACAAGAGTTACCAAAGGCAAGGATAAAACCAACAATTCTAACATAATGCCAGAAGGGGGTTGAAGCTAAAAAGGAAATTGGATAAAAGTAAAACCATATCATGAATACATGATTAGGGAAAAAGCAGATTGCGAACAGTATTATAAAGGATAGGACAGTTTTGGCCACTTTGGTTCGAGCCTTGGTTAATCTAAGGTGTGTTTGGTTGATTCCGTTTGATGAGGTTGCTGAAAGTGAACGCTGTGTATTGGCAAGTAGATGACGAGCCATCGCCAGGTAAAAGACACTGATGATGAAAAGGGGAAGAGCATAGAGAATGATAAACTTGGTCAGCACAATGAATTTGGCGTAATTGGTTCCTAAGGAGGCTGGAAATGGATAACATATTGAGATTGTTTTCTCAGGAGTTATTGGAATTTGCATGACAAATGAATTATATGCTCCAGGGAATGCAAGGAGAGAGGCGATTGTCCAAATTGACGCGGTTATGGTCAAGGTTAACTCTTTATGTTTGGTTGAGGTGAAACGTTTTAATGGAAGGACAATTGCCATGTAACGGTCAGCAGAAAGTACGGTTAAAGAGAAAACGGTTACACCTATGGACACATCACGAACAAATTCCGATAATTTACAAAGAAATTGACCGTAAGGCCAAGAATCGAAGGAGTAAATGGTTGAAACAAAGGGTAAGGCACCGGTAATAATAAGTAGATCACCAATGGAAAGGCTTATGATGTAAGTGTTGGGAATTGTTCTCATTGATTTATTACGTAAAAAGACAAATATAATTGTACCATTTCCTATCAAGCCGATTATGAACAATATTCCAAACACGATTGGTACGATATATGTTTCAGGTCGATATTCATATGGTACATAAGTATCGTTGTCGGATAGAGTTCCGTTGAATTTTAAGTTTATTGTATCAGTTAAAATGGTTGAATTCTCGTTGTTCAATGATATGGATGATGGTGAAGATGATGATGATGATGATGATATTGTTGATAAGGAGTCGAAATTAAATTGTAATGAAGGATAACCTTGATTAGAAGATGAGTTTGAATTTAATTCGAAAAAATTAATCGAATAGTAACTTGATGAAGGTACAACTTCACTTACAATTTGGACAATTGTTTCGTTCATAATTGTTTTCAATTCTAAAAACTGATTGTTAATTTAGATTAATGATTTACTTTAATTCCGATTGATAAGCGATAACAAATTCATTGGAAACCAATTGATTGATCAATATGTTCAAACTGTTCAACCTTATTTGAGGTACATCTCATTAGAACAAGAACTTTTTGTTTCATCATCATTCTCATCAAAAAACTTTCTCCTCGAATCGAGATTAGAACTTTTCTCTTGTAGAATACCATTGGTGCCATCTATTGGTAGAAAATGTCAACTCACGAAAAGTTTATCGAACAAAAATAAAAAAAAGATTCGAGAAAAAAGAGATACAATAAGTAAAATTACTTATTTTTATCGATTATTAGACAAGAAACTTTTTTTGCGACAATTGATCGACTGATAAGTTCCCATAAAGATCAATATTTTCACTGATGAAAATCTTGATTTTGATTGTGCTTATTGAATTTGAGGAAATCGGTCAGTTAAACTTTCTTTAATTATTTTGTTCTAATAATTATCACCAACACCTAATTTTGTGATTTGATTCGCGTTCATGGTTGAAATAATTCTTACTAAATTAACCCTCAATCAAATTCATCGATCGCAGAATTTACGAGTAAAAAAAAGTTCTAAACACTATTTTCCTTTAGAACTTTTTTTCCTCTCTGATTTGTTTTCTTTTCTATTTTACGCCAGACTTGTGATTCCAATATGACAGCTATCAAAGTGTATTTCGAAAACGATTGGCTCGAAAGAAGAGAGGAAAAGAGAGATGATGATGATGGAAAAGAGAGAAGAAAAAAGATGATTGAAGTCTCATGAGAGTAGTAAACAATTTCTTCCATTGTTTTTTGTTCAATTCGAATCTCTGAGTTGTTAAGTTTCTCTTATTTCTCTTTTTTTTCAAACAAAAATCTTCGATTTCATTGAAACTGTTGAAAAAGACGAAGAGCAGAAAGAAGAGAGAGAGAGAGAGAGAGAGAGAGAGAGAGAGAGATGAGAATGAGAGCAAAAGAAATCGAATAGAAAACATTCAATTCGAAATAACTTGTTTGGAAACTTATGAATATCACCAAAGTGAACTGTTGATAGAATCGAAATTGAAGATCAATATTCATTACCATCTAACCGGAAAGAGAAAGAGAGAGTGAGAGAGAAAACCTTAGTCTAATTGAAAGAGAATAAAAAAATATTCGAATTCTAGTTTTCTCTCCAAAAATTTCTTTCAAATCTTCAATGAAAACTAATATTTTTCAAGGTCAATTGAATCAATGGCACATTTACAATCATTAACATCTAATATTCCATAAGCTTTATTACAACATTAAGAAAAACCAACAAAGATCTCACCCTGAATCATTTACATAATTTATCATCACCAGGTATCATCTTCCATATTCATAATATACCTTTTCAATATCAATTCTCAGTTCAATAATCTGATATTTCCTAATAGACTGATCCATTTTCATAGATTGACCATTGTATCCATGATATACTTCATTACAATACAACAGTAAACGACCTCAGTGATAATAAAACCATGTAACATGATGACCAGTTGAATTGAGTGAAACTTTTGAATGAGAATTTTAAAAAGCTCAACTTATTGTTATATTTTATATTAGCTAAATATCAACTTTCCAACTCCCACTCTCAACTTTATCCTGAAACTGTTATCAACCATTAAAGTATATTAATGTATATGACTTTTCAGAATATTGAATTTTCCCTTCATATGGATTCAGAACTTTTTTCCAATTCATTCATTCTGTTACCATGTGATATTCAACTGGATCTTATTACCAACCCTTAACCACTCCGTTCAAAGTTTCAATCCAATTGATATCAGTTTAATAATAGTTACATGTTCAAATGTTTTTTGTTTTTCTTTTACTTATACAACCGATTATTACCTTGTTGTTATTGTTCGTCTTCTTCATCATCATCATGATTATCATGAAATAATATATTGTTTACATGACATTATAACCACATGATTGAAGCAACATGAATGATAAACAACATTTATCATGCACTTGAAATTCAATATATTAATATAACAGAATATCAAAACAAACGAGCTTTAATAATCATAACGGTAAATATATCGAAGGTATAAAATACATAGATCCCAAGTTTAGTGAACTAAATACATGACAGGACATGAAGTTTTAATATATTAAATTGTTGAGTTAATCAGATGATAAATTGAGATGAAAATTAAACGATTTACTATTCGATTGTATATTAAAACGAAATTCAATAATTTATCAGATTATTTTCGGATCCATTTTGATGGGAGTGGATAAAAGTTGAGAGAGAGAGAGAGAGTTTATATTGCAATATTATTACATTGAATTAAGTTGGATGGGATATGTAAAGTTGGTTCCAAAGGAGAAACGAGAGTTTGAATTTTATCCTGATTGAGTAAATATTTACATGGGAATCATCAATACTCATAAAGTGTTCATAGTCATGATGAAGATCGTCATGGAACTGAAATTTACTTTTCTCTATTTATGTCTCTTTCTTTTTCTGAAGTTACTTTTTTTGTTCCATTTTATCTTACTTGATGAAAATCCAACTGTATATTTGTTCAAGTATTTTCACAAGCAAATACAAATAATAGCAAATGCAAATTCGAAATTCCGAATTTATTCCATAGGGCGCGGGAGGGTTGGGCTGATAAAGCTCAGGTGAATAATGGAAGATTAGGAAATTCATGGAAGGCTTCAGATTATGAATGAATCTGACGAGGAAGACAAGATAGAGAGAGAGAGAGAGAGAGAGAGAGAGAGAGAGAGAGAGAGAGAGAGAGAGAGAGAGAGAGAGAGAGAGAGAGAGAAAACGAGAGATGAGAGGGAAAAAGGAAATATTTTTTTCTCTACTTTGACTCGGGCAATCGAAAAGAATTTATTTTATTCTATCGATTCAGATTTTCTATCATCATGGGGACTGAACATTTGTTTACTTAATCTTCTCATCCAATTGAAGTTCACTTTACCATTTATTTAAGTTTCTTATGGAAGATTGTCAATGAGAGAGAATGTGAGATGATGATCAAGATGAAGATGAGTAAAAAAAGTTCGAAATCAGTTTGTAATTCGTGATCGTAATTCCTTAAATTCCAAGGCTTGTGACCAATTTACAAGGAGAGAAAAAACTTTACATCTCTCTCTCTCTCTCTCTCTCTCCTTAAACATCCTCAATCTCTTTCATTTTATATTCCAAGTCAGAAATTGTCAACATCACATCGATTCCATATCCAGGGTAACCATCATGAACATTATGTACAGGAAAAGAAATGAACCTTTTCTCCCTCTCATCAGAATCTAAATGTTTACATCAATTCTGTTTCATTTCATTTCATTAACTCTGAATACCTTTTTTCTCCCCTGCAAACTAATACTTGGTGCAATTGATGCAAATTTTCAGCTTCATTGAATAATAATCCACTTCACCTGAGTTTTCATCATCATGCAAAGCACAAGAAAAAAAATTTAGCTGACAACAAGAATATTAACCCAATAATAAATATCCACCACCTAAATGTTTAATCATTTTGATCCAATTTAAAGTCAAAAGATTATCAATCTCATTAATCTTGAGAGAAACAAAATTAATCAGTGAAAATTTGGAGATATAATTTCAATCTCAATGTAAATCAATTGGATAATGCTGATGATGATCAACATGAATATCATGTTTCTCTGATTATTTATTTACTGTATTACAAAATAATCCATCTGAATATTATCAGAATTTTGGTAAATATCTTTTTCCATGAAGAAAAAACTTCCTCTCTCTCTCTCTCTCTCTCTCTCTCTCTCTCTCTCTCTCTCTCTCTCTCTCGTACATTTCTTTCAAATGATTATCTCACTTAATCACATTTGTAATGATCAACTTCATGAAACATGAGAAGTAAATGAATGGAAAAAAACTTTATAATAAATTTTATCATCATAATCATCATCTTATAATAATCTTAGGAGATGATGAGAGTAGCTGAAGAAAAGAAAGAAAAGTTTCAGAGGAAATCTTATTTTTTGCTGTTTCGAAAAAGAAAAGGATGAACTTCTCTATTCGAATTGAAATATTAACCTGAATATGAAAAAAAGTTCATAAGTAATTCTTTAAATTCACCATCGTCAAGTAAGAATTAGTTGATCCTCATCATTCTTAATCTTCATTATCTTGATAATCTTTTCTATTTACTCTGTTTATCTCTTTCTCTCTTTACCAGTCAATCTCTTTTCATCAGATTTACGCCATTTCTTATATTCACAAGCCTTAATTGTATCAATGGAATTCATCGTTTCATTCAGATTATCTCATTACCCATGATAAAAACAATCTACAACTTGAGAGATAAATTTTCAAATAATCAGCTGAAATCTGATATTCCAAGAATTTAACCAAGAAAGAGATCGAATAATATTTTCTTGGATAAGACCCAAAGACACACTAATCTCTTATCCCTTTTCTGTTTACTCTTCAATCCTAATCTCGTTTTCTGAACAAGTTGTTGAAAGAATCGATCAACTGAGCCAACCCTTGTATCGGTCAATCCAATAAACAGTTAACTCGAAAAACAAATTCCAAGTTAATTAGCTCCAATTGTACATCAAGTAAATTCGAATATTAATCAAATTATAATCGACGATTAACCAGAGAGAGAACAAAATCTTTACTTTTTTCGAACTTTACACTGGCGACATCTACATTTTCTTTTTCTTTTTGCACAGTCGTTGTTTCTCATTTCGAGTTTCGATAATATCTCATTCCATTTATTTTCTCATTTTATTTTCTATTCTCATGGATGCAACAACAAATTCTGTTAATAGTTATCTCTTTTCAATTTTTCTCTCGTGGTTTTAAATGTTCTTCCATCAAACTGATTGGAATTTAATTGTTCCAAACAAATTGAATCTCACCGATAACCTGAAACTCTTATTTCTTCAAGTTTTCCTCTTAATTCTCTTCAATCAATTCATCATCATCTTCTTTTCATCCAATATTATCATTATTATTCTTTCATGGTGATTATGTATCTAACCATTTTCTCTTCACTTTCTTTTTCTTCTCTCTTCTCTTCAACCTCTCCCTTTGTTTTCACCCTCACAACCGCTAATTTACAAAACTTCTACCAACATCCTGGCTCATCTTCTTCATCTTCATCTTCATCCTCATCCTCCTCATCTTCATCCTTAATCTCACCACATTCAATTCCACAACGTGCCAAATGTGACACTGCCCTGAGT